AAGACGGAGGTTGTGTAGTTTCAACAAGTATAGCTTAGCTATCGTGTGAAGGGAATTGTTTCAAAAAAGAAAAAAAATCATGCACGCTTATTGACGTGCTTGGCTGTACATCGCTTTGAAATCTTTTCCCCCACAAGTTTCCTATTAAGGTATGGAAAACTTTTTAAGCGTCCTATATATATTGGTTAATTTCACATGACAACCCAACTCCTATAACATTATTTAAGAATGTTTCGATCTCTCTAGTTTACTAAGTAAGCAAACTGAACATGTGCAAGGACCCATCACCGTAAATACTATAAATACTATAGATGTATAACTTATTCCGAACTGTGTGTGGACTCGAGAACAAGTAACAACTGTGATCATGTTAAACATTACTAGTATTTAAGTGAAAAACAAAATTACAGATGTATATGTCGTAGAATAAAAATACAAGTATGTTTTTCTTTTTTTGAACGGGCTGCCTAATATGACGAAATAATATATATGTCAAATAAATTTTAGAGCAGTTATATGAGGAGATAAAAGGCTTTTCATGTGATGCAATCAAACAAAAAATAAAAATACGCATGTTCTTAAAACGACACTAAATTTTGTAATTTTCGTTTTTCTCCTTATCACTATAGCGTTGTTTCTCCTGTATAAACGTTACTTAAATTAACAATATTATAATTTTTAAAGAGGCTTAGACAGAAGCTTTTGTTTCATATGTTTATTCTGCCTTAAATAATTGTACATCAAAATCTAGCTCGATTGAAACTTGGTCCATTATTGTCAAAGGTTCGACATTCGAGAACTTTCATTTTATAAAATAAAATTTAAAAATAACGCACTCTTAGGGAACTTTAGCCCCTCTATACTAACTATCGAAGCAGTAAGACATTTATAATTGTTCTTAAAAATATCATCTAAACGTTGCGAGGCTCCAAATTATGTCACTGTGAAAACTGCAGAAATCACCAGCCTTTTCGAAGTCCGAGATTCAAGAACCCAAAAAATTTCGTAGTTCTAATTTGCGCTTCTATTCTAGTCACACATTTTTCACCAACCTATATTTTTTTTAAAAATTTTTTTTACGAACTTTAATTTCTTGCACAATTTGAATGAGATCATCCTATTACAGAAACATAACCTTTCCTTTTTCCCTCTAAATCACAATTACGGTAGTATGCGATAAACAGAAAAATAAAACCGTGGCTTTTGTCGTTACCCAAAGGTACAATGACTGGTGTCCTGGATGAACCTAGACGAGACAAGCGGCAAGACCCCTTTTGGGAAAATGGTCCGAGATTTCAAAGATAACGGCGGTGGCATGGTCCCTGAACCATACATACTGTGCGCTGATCAAACCTAATTGTAGAGTACAGTCTTCTTTTCTTTTAGTTTTTTTTTTTGGGGGGGGGGGGAGGAGGGGGTGGGGGGGGGTATTGGAACTTCAAAATTCTGAGTTTGTCGGATAAATCCGAATTCACCAATATTTTACCGGCGAGTGTTTTTCGGAGCTTGTCGGATTTATCCGAAAACACGTGATCCTAGTAACAAACCACGGGCTCCTCTAAGGTCAGAATAAGGTGATGATTGGTGTCCAGAAAATTACAATAACTTGGTCCGAATAAGAAGGAAACTTTAATTTTACGGGTTAACTCATATTCATACAAATTGCTGGCGCTTTTTATTAACTAAACATATATATTTTTCCATTACTCGCAATGCAAACTATTTTAATTTTTTTACAGCGCACCGGGCTCGTTTTAGTTTCTATGAATAAGGAAATACCTGGTGATACTGGAAATCAGATAGATAAACAAGAATATTCTTCTTTTGGTTTTTTTCCTCCTCATGCCGCCGTAGTTTCAAGAACATCTTACGGTAATTAAAAATACCACAGGCCTTATTTATGGTTGTTGCTACGGCGAGATATACAAAAATAGTCGCTTCAATGCCACTGCTTCCCGGGAGTTTGTCAGTAACTCAACCTTGTTAAACCCTCTCCACATTCTTTTTTTTAGGGCGCTTATGCGCCTGAACAACGCACGAAGAAACCGCTTTTTTATTTTCCGCAGTTACTATTTCATTATGACCATGAAACTATTTACTCCAACGCTATCTAGGAATTTACTGACTCTTGTATAAAAGGCAGCGTCAGTGAGGAGCCCACCATCATTTCCACTTCACAAAAAGAGGAACAGTCTCCATCATGTTCTCCAAGGTACTACAGTTTTCTCACGAGCACGGAGCACCATAGACTCTTTAACTAAACATTTGAGATTTCATTTGCAACAAGTGTTTCCCAAATATATATATATATATATATATATATATATATATATATATATTTTTTTTTTTTTTTTTTTTTTTTTCACTATTTCAGGTCGTTCTGTGCTGCCTCTTCGCCTACGTGGCTTCGCAGGTCGTGGTGGAACATGTGAGTATAAAACTAGCGGATATCCCAGGTTTACATTTAGTTTTACGACTGGCGTGGGTGATAGTAGACTTGTCTCAAACGTTTTATGAGCTGCAGGCACCTCTAAGATCTCGTGAGGTACCCCATACCTGTTTAACCTATTATCTTGGGTTCCGACTAAGCGCCCGCCTGATCGTCCATACCATCCAGATTTATAAACAGACTTAAATTGCCGAAGGCTTGAATTCAGTATAGGTTTGCAAGATGGCTGATTGTATGAAACAGGCGCATATTTTAGAACGTTTGCATATTTGTGAATTTGCGACAAGATAATTAATTTTCCAAACCAAACATTTATTTACTACAAGTGGCATCTGCCCCTCTACTTTAGAAATATACACGAAAATGCACAATACTGTAAAATATTTTGCTCATAGTACAGTTCTCTCAGATATTTGTAGTATTTCTCGTTTAATTTTAAAAGCTAACAACGATAGTGATTTTTATGACTTTATACCTATGAATGCTTATTCTAGTGGCATTCGATTTTTTTTTAGTACAACTTCTTAATTATGGTCAGCTGGAAAAAAAATCTTGAGATATTTGCAGGCAGGCAAGCACAATATCCGGCGCCACCGCGCATAATAGCAGTAGTCTTGATTGAGTCACAACTTGATGAAATTTGGCATAGGTTGATGTTGGGTTATGCGCCTTACATAAGATCTTTCCCACTGCGGGACGTTTAGGAAAACGATAATATCACGAACATATTCACTTCCTAACACTTGCGTTTTTTTTCTTCTGTTCTGCTACACAGCCACCACAGCCCTACAGCTTCGGCTACGACACCACAGACGCTTTCGGCACTCGGCAGACCCGTCAGGAGACCAGTGATGAGTTCAACAACAAGATTGGTTCGTACAGCTTCGTCGACGCCAAGGGCATCGCCCGTGCCGTCAACTACGTAGCCGACGGCGCCGGATTCCGTGTCAGAGTCGACACCAACGAACCAGGCACCAAGACCTCCGCTCCAGCAAATGCCGAGATTGTGTCCTCAGCCGCCGAGGGACCCAGCCCAGTGGTGGTGAGCGCAGTCCATGCCGCTCCAGTGGCCGTGCGCGCTGTCCACGCTGCTCCCTTCGGCTATGCCGGGCACGCTGCTCCAGTGGTCTACTCCCAGAACGTAGCTCCAGCTCCTTACGCTCTGGCACATTCTCCTCTTGCCTACGGTTACGCGAGGAGCTATTAAATGGTTTCGTGTATAAGGTAATGAATAAAGAAATTATACTGAGTTGCTTAATTGCGTTGTTTTACTGCATTTGGGTCCCATCGCAGAAAACATAAACGGATGTGAAAAATTGCCGTTTGAACCAAGCAGGGCTGACAAGTTGGCAGGAGGCAACGACGAAACGAGAAGAAAATATGCAATAATTCCCACCTTAACACAAATATCAATGGGCAGGCAATAATATGGTACATAACAATACCAATATATATATATAAATATATATATATATATATATATAATGCTCGGGAGTGCCTTCCGAGCGTTGTTTATATATATATATATATATATATATATATATATATATATATTTGTCAATATGGCTACCCCTATTGTACAGAGGGAAAAACAAAATACCAGATTTGTGATGCTGCCTTAAATGTACCCCTAAATCTGAGTTTTTTTTTTGTCAATATGGCCATCCTATTGCTCATAATTCTGTCGTTTTTAATAATGTACACAAGCCTAAAAATACCGAGGAGGAAATTGTGTGGATCCAAAAAATATGTGCACAAACTAGTCTCAAATCCTGGGCTCCATTTTAATACGTTCCACGTCTCGGGACAATTAGCTTTCGATGAAATTGAGAAAACTCTCAGCATTAGCAACTAAATATCATACTCCTCCATCACAACGTTCTCGCTGTGAAACGACCCATCACAGAAGATTATAATGACAAGAACGCTGAGTATACGCAGAAGAAATGAGTACAGTAGAATATTTATGTTCCATATTACCTGAACTCTAAATTATTTTTGCATAAAGGGCAACACAAACAAGCGGCCGTCAAAAAAAAAATCAATTTTTGTTACAGTTTTTTATACCGAACATTAGGAACAGGGACTTATCTCGCATCCTCTTCACGAGCTACCCGTTGAACCGCTTTAACAACTAACCTTCAACTTCCAGATGCCTTGAGGGGAATCACCCTAAGTGCATTTATTAAGTGCCGTGCTTCAAGGTCCAGTGTATCCCATAGCTAACGAGTGAGAGAGAGAGACAAAAAAACGCTTCGCGGCGACAGTTACAAAATTCAGGTTTTTTTTTCTCGTTCGTAGACAAAAACGTATGGCGAGATCAGAGTTCGTTTTTCTTTCTTTTTTAGATCCAGTTCGATAGCTGCACCGGGAAAAAAAAAGTTAATTATGCGCCGGTGAGGACAGCGTTAAAGTCAGCGAGTCCATGCAATTTGGTCTGAAGATCCGCATTGAGTGGCTTTCCGTTTAACCTCCTCCGTCGGAAATGGCAATGTTCGCGTGCGAAGCCTCGCAATATAAAAGTGCCGTTCACTCGATACCCATTAGTCGTACAGAGCACAGACGTGCGCATTGGTAGTTTCAGTCGAGGTATAAAACCTACTGCCAAGAAAGACTGGTCCTGTTCTTTTTTCTTTTTTTTGTTTTGCCAAAAGTACAGTAATCTATATCGCAACATGTTCGCTAAGGTACGTTTAAGGATTCACAATATAGCACCCTTTGTTTCTCAGGATGTCTTACGCAGTCCTTAAAGCGCCAACATTCTTGTTTCAGGTGCTTGTCTGCTGTCTCTTCGCCTACGCGGCTGCTGGAGTTGTTGAGCAATACGTAAGCATCAGACGTATTTATAATCCAGCGTGCTCTGGTAGTTTCTACTTACTAGTTCAATGCAAGCTCCAATAGTATCTTCAACCTATAGCAACTCTCCACTCTCCTTCTTAGCTCTTAATTTCCTATTTACTTGCCTGTGCTAGTCGTTTTCCCCTCTTTGTTTGCGTAGTAAGTAGTGTGCACATGCATTTATTCCCTTTCCATGCTTATCATAACAGCTTCCCCTTTTGTAGCGTGGCGGTGAAAGTCAAATTCGAGCTTATGTTACCATCTAGATATTTAAGCTCTATCAAACAAACCACGCTCACTTCTTTGGTTGGGGGGTTTTCGTCTTACAGAGAGATAAGTAAAAAAAATATTTATTTTATTTAAGTTACTTAGTATCAGCTAATTGCTTTCACGGGGTTAGAGTATGCATTCGATTTAGAGTTTCGATGATGAGCAGTGGAAGTTCCATCACGCAGTTTCGCAGCACGACCGTTGTCGCAGCTGAAAATTATAAACATAATTGCATCACGTTACAAAGCCCTACGCTAAAACAGACTGCAATAAGAATAGCAAAAATTTCATAAATAACTATCTAGCGAACTAAAGTTTATACTATAGGCAGGCAAAAATTAAACCACGAAATCTTTCGGTAAAAAGTATTTGGAGAATAATTAAGCACAATTCGCCATGGTAAAAAAAAATGTTACGTCAAAAAAATGTATCATTATTGGTACAACGTCATTGAGAAATTGTCCGTGAGGATTCCCCTCAAGCGATATGGCATATCCACTTATATTCATTGCGTGGTGCAAAACTGGAGAGGGATATAACAAAGTTCGGGCGTCTACGTTTTAATAACGTATCTATGTCAAGATAAAGCGTCAATCGAACATTTTCTTTCATAACCTGATACAATTGTCGTCATTCAAACTAGCAATAAAACGAAGAAAACGGAAACCACATATCCTTCTCCGCTTCTCTGCAGCCACCCCAGCCATACAGCTTCAGCTACGACAACACCGACGAGTTTGGTACCCGCAGCTTCCAGGAAGAGACCGGTGACTCTAGCAATGGCAAGGTCGGATCCTACACCTACACCGACGCCACCGGCCTGACCCGAACCGTCAAGTACGTCGCCGACGCCGCCGGTTTCCGCGCCACCATCGAGACCAACGAGCCAGGCACCAAGACCTCTAACCCAGCCGGCGCCCAGTACATCTCTTCCGCCATTGAGGGCCCAGCTCCAGTCGCCGTCAAGGCCCCTGTCGCCGTGCACGCCGTCAACGCTGCTCCAGTTGTGCACGCTGTGCGCGCCACGCCAGTGGTTCACGCAGTGCACGCCTCTCCAGTGTCCTTCCAAGCCGCTCCAGTCTCCTTTGCCCTCTCTCACGCTCCCCTCACTTACACTCTTGGCCGTGCCAAGAGCGCCTGAGGTGAACGCTAGTTAGGTAGACAAAGTATTATCGAGGGTATCTTTTTATTCCGCAACTTACGACACTGCCCTGAGCAATGCCGAAACTCCGCTAGTTTCAAAGTATGCGTTCGAGAGTGTCTGTTTTTAGCCTTTTATACTCGAAGTCCTGAAGACCTGAACTACATTGTTTCAAGTTGACGAAATATTTAAATAAATCTATATGTATTACGTTTTGTTCGCCTGTCTTTTATTGCTGTCCCTAGGAATGATTGCGGGCGTTTTCTTGAGTTGATCACTTTGTACTGAGAGCGACATCATATGCCGACCTAGTTGAAGTAAGCGTTATATAGGAAAGAAAATTCCTCATTCTTAGATCTACTAAGAGACGCGAAGTTGGTGGTAGGTAGTACAGTTCAATTAATCTGGCATGACGTAATCGCACTGTAAACTATGTGGAACTTTAAGTGGTTTAATACTCTTATTATTTATGTCTCCTAGATGTTAACATAAATGTATTCGATTCTATTTCATTCATTTACCTCAACGGCATCTGGTGATGCCATTGAAGTTAGAGGTAACTGTGTAATATTTATTCTTTTACTTTTAACCGCGGTACTGCTTGCAAAGGGTTGCTTTGACTGCCGTACCTAGCACCCTGAAATCAAGCGTCGTTTTCTACAGTTTTTCACAGAAAGAAACCAAAGATTAGTGACCGTTAAATAATGTGTGATCTTAAAAAAAAAGAAAAAAAAAACATGAATTGAATCACTACGTTTAGACAATCTGCCCCATGTGAAAATCGCGGTGCTCCCTCACTATAAAACTGTGTTCCAAAATAATTTTATACCTTTTTTTTATTTTTTTTTGTCTATTCTTTACTTCAGAAAATATAACCGAAACCTGCAGCTTATTTATCTCACTTTACTAAGAGGTTAATTTAGATTTTATGGATACACTCGAACGTCTGATCCGAAGGCACCGATGAAGGATCATAAAAATATCTGCCAGTTCAGTAACTACTAAATACTGACAAGGAATAAACTAATTTCTGCTGTGACGAACCGCAACAGCTCTCACACAATTTTTTCCTAACAGTAGAGTTAGTTCTGTACATTTAATTTTGAATCAGCTATACAACTTGAATATTGAGACATATAGTTTCGCTCCATAAATGCATGCTTATTTCGGCCATTAGACGACGTCTATAGAAAAAGTGTGCAACGTCTTTGAAGAAAAAATACAGAATCATACCATGACAGATAGGAATACACTGTAAACACAATGTTTAACCACTTTTTCATTTTCAAGTCGTGCTTTATAGCAGTACTTGATATTTAATATAGAAACTAAAATGTAACGTTTAATGTTTGTAAGGCCTCCTTCTCTTAATATTAAGGGAACCATTCTAGAGAAGAAACGTGCCAGCTATTATATAAATATTGCGCATAATAGGAAGAGTGAACTTTTATCAAATTCTGCACACTAAAACAAAACAAAAAAAAAAAAACAATCGCGCTCTGGCCAATAAATTTATTGTTTGCAATTGTCGTAAGACGATCGTGTATTCTGAAGGCGATTTGGTTAGGACCGATGTTGCGTAATATCATTGATAACTTTAGAGCAGCTTGTTAGGTATACTGAAATATTTTAATGAGGACAAAAATAATATTTTGAAATGCCTTAACAGAATTAAATTTTATTACTTGTTTTACAGGTCGGCCATTTTCAGTATTATGTCGTGGTATTGTGTCTTGTCCATAGAGTTATTATAATGTACGCTAGAGGTTCAAGTGGCGCTAGTGTGCTGACGCAAATTGAAGCAGACAGCAACCAGTCGGAAATTGACTTCCGGTAATGCATTTCTATAGGAAAAAGTGAGTGCCTTTTCTCTCTGCGCTCGATCATAAGAGCAAATATCCCGAATAATTCGTACGTACTAGGTAGCTTGGAACATTTCTCAGTCAGGCCGACGAAATAATTGGTCAGTTACGGTGTTTTTCTTTCAAATTCATCGCATTAAAAACGGTGCTAAAACAGCTTCGTACGTGTATTTATGTGCACTGTCGGACACCGTTAGCGCGAACACGACGTCGGCGCTTTTCAGCGTGGGGGATACACGTGCCAAACGAAGGAAGAACATCTGGAAATTAAGAAAGACGGCAAGAACTGCGCAGTAACGCCGGATCAGTAACTACACGTGCGTATACGATCAAAAATAATCGAAGGCCACGTAATCTATTCCTATTTTAAATAAGTAAGTACCGTTTTATTCTTTCTGCTCTGAGCTAAGCTGCTTGTTCTACGTTCAAAATATCACTCGCACGCTCGAAATCTTTGAGAACAAGTTCCCGATAAAAGCTGTCCGGCAGAGAAAACAATACGAAGAGACAACTTTTATAGCCCACGGACTTTATTCTCTACGTTTTGAATGTTTTTATCCGCTCATGCACGACGGGGTCGTTTTTATATAGTGGCAGGACTGGCATATTATCAATATATAAGCGTCACCGGATTGCTGGCGAGCCTTGAACACACTCTACATTCCTTTCTATTGTAATTTTGCTTCGAATCGTCGCTTGTTTTTACACACCTGCTGCGGAACACCCGTTTGGGACTGAAATGTAGCGAAGTTAAACATCGGTCACTGACGAAGAAAAATGCGCTAACTAAAGCAATTACACTTTTACAGTGTAAATCAAGGTACATACTATTCGGTACGACCCAAATAACCAAAGTGTTTCGTGTTATTTTCCGGCGAAGAGACAAAATGCACCCGCGCTTTCCCATAGGAATACACAGGAAGACTGGAAAAGTAGGCTGGTTGCTGTCTGCTTCAATTTGCGTCACGGAAGTCGCATAGACACTAGCGCCAGTTGAACCTCTAGCGTACATTATAATAACTCTATGGTCTTGTCAAATATAAGGCGCACATTATATACAGCGAAACCGTCAAACAATGCAGTAAACAGACAGATAACGGACATACACAATCTAGAGGAACAATGTTTTATTTACAGCGCATAAGTTGTAACGTAAACCAAAGAGGGGCTTTTGGTATCTTTTTTATATCTTATAGATCCCAGCTCGCAGACAAAGCAGCTTTAATTAATATTTATGTGGACACCCTGCAGTAGCTGTTAAATAAAATTATTTAACAGTTGAGATGCACCATCTCTACCATTAAATACGTATGCCTTTATATGTTAACATAATGACCTTGTTTGTGACTTTTTATGTAAATAAAGCATTACTGCTGCGTTCTACACTTCCAAAATATTTTTAAATGTTTGTTTTGTTCCTTTGAAGGGGAAGCTCTTGTACGATATAAAAATTACTTCTTTTTTATTATTTATATACCTACGCTTCAAGATTGATTATAGAAATGAGGTGAACCGAATTTTTAATCTTATGGTACTTGTAACTGCAATATTTACACAAAATGTGCCAAAACACAAAGAATGGAAAATAAAAATATATAAATGTGGAAAGTTTAAATTGATCGAATTAAGTAAATTGTATTAAAGGTGTCTGTAGTCATGGATCTGATGCTAAATGGGAACCAAATGACACCGGAAGCTCATTATTTGTCTTCCATAAACCGACTAGCTATCTTGCAGCAGCCATGGGCTTTTATTGACGAAATTGACAATCAGACGGAACAAAAAAGGCAAGTTCAATAATACACTAAAAAAACACTGACTTACAGACACCAATATCGTACGTGTGGAGAGCAAACCTTTAAGCAGCATAGAAACAATAAAACATGTTTTCGTTGGCAAAATCACAAGTATGTTTCTTCTTATCCGTGTGAAGGTTAAAGCTACTTCTTTCATACATGCCATACAGTCAATGGCATCTAACAGTATTACATGTTTTTCGTACACTTAACATATCCCAATATTGGTGGAAGGAACTTCTAGTTTATTGAATCACAGCTCGTTTGTTTTTCTCTAGCAACAACGAATTTCAAATATACGTGACTTTTCGAGCGAGAAACATGTAGGTGTAAATCATAGCGGCTTTAAATAAACATGTGCCCACAGACCCCATCATTCACTCGCATGGACTTTAGGAGAAGCTTCGCTGCTTTTTAAAAGCATCAAATTAACAAGCTGGGAAGGACAATGAGATATTTTTGGTCTTATCTGCGGATATTATTGAACATACAAATCAAGAGTGTCCGTTTTTAAATAATTTCCAAGTAATAAGTATAGACCTGTTTCCGAAATCCTAACCTCCAGCGACAAAAATGTGAAACAATAATCTCGATTGCAGGCTCTTGTGAAAAAAGTGGCCGCGCATAGAACAATAAATTTGCTTTCTACAGAACTCTTGGCATCAGTATTTTTCTTGGAGATCCGTGACTTTTCATTTCTGACGATATGTGCGAAGGTTTCTAAAAAAAATGGAGTGTTACAAAAAGAACCGTCCCCTATTGTGTCATATGGCGTCAGCATAAACAAAAATGGCGGCGCCCATGGGATTGAGCAGACACTTCCCTATAGCAATACCATAAATAAAAAGGCGTGTGCGGTAAAAGTAGCGTTCGGTAGCTTCCGTCATTCGATAATATCTCCCAGTGTAGGGTTTACGACAGCATCCTGAGAGAAGAGCACACACTTTATGTAAAAATTAGCGCGGTTTAGACAACATGCTTTTTCCTTAATTAAAAATGCCCCAATGTGCCAGGCATTGAAGAAGTTATTAGTACGCGTTACTTCAGAGCTACAAGTGAAATAATGTCATACGACCCGACAATATTTGTTTCTTTACTAGAAAATAATTGACATAATTTATTTTGCTCTTTCAAACCTCGTAGCCTTTAAGTGGCTCGAGTACTACTTTATGCGTAATCGGTAAAACTATTAGGGTTGCTTCAAAAAGATTAGTCTCAGCCATTCGTGAGAATATCTGGCAGTAGTTGCAACTGAAAATTGCCTAACGTTATTGAGGCTGCCAGTTGTTTCCTACAGACAGTTAGATTCCGTACTAGATGTACACGATTATAATAGAAACTGTTCAGCGGCTTGAAGAATCGGTTCGTCTGTGCTTCGCTACACAGAATCAGAAAAAAAAAAAAAACGAGTGCAGCTCCTCTTGATGAGAGGAATGCCCACCGAAAGGAGAAATATTTCTATGTA